TATGGCAAGCCAATTTCACATTATGATTTAACATTCATTTGAATTTCTAGTTAGTAATCCTATAGTTGTAAGTATTTATTAAAGTATTACACGGTTGTCTGGAATAATGGATTCTGATTGGTCATCCCAAGATCTGATATTTTTTGTACAGAAAGCAGGCTCAGTGTGCGGAATTACACAGACCAAAACAAAAACAAACATTCCAAAATGGAATGCCCATTGCAAAGTAGAATAACTGACTGTAACATTGTTTTTTGGAGAAACAAGTATATGAACTTAGCATGTTTCCTAAATATGTGCAAACATATTGTGGTATTTTTATGTGTTAGTACTTTCAAAAAAGTGACATGTGACACCTTTAATTATATTGCAATGTTGCATTGTTTGTCTTGTTCATTGTTACCTCAGTTACAGCAAAAATATCCACTTCACTAACTAATTTACTGTTAATAATTAGTTACTGTAATATTAAAATAGTTGCTAGAATTTATTGCACACAGTACTTATTAGATACTAGAAGCTAAGGAATAAGTACTAGTATATAATACATACTAGTGACTAGTTGAATTGATGCTAGTCACTATTAGAATAAGCGATAGAATTTAATCTGATAAGTATTGTACATTTAAAGGTAGATGCTAGTCACTATTGGACTACTTACTAGTATATATTTTAGTTACTAATACTTATTTTTAAGGGTATTTGTTAAATTGGCTTGCCATACATGTACACCCCTGTCTGTGCACTTCTCCAGCCCCCCAGACCACCGATTTCTCTCTTCTCGCTCGATGTTCAGGAACGACTAGTGAGGAGGAACTCGTACTAGTTCTGCGAGTCCGCACCAAGTTTGTGACCTGGAATAAACGAGACACTTCTAAATACCGCAGAGTCGAGAGGAGCCTTAAACCGTCTTGAGAAAGGGGAAGAGCAGATTTAAAGACGTATATTCCCCAAAGACAGCGGTAAGTGATTCATTTGTTTGACAGTTACGCAGTTCCCCATGATAGAATGCTGCATTGTGACGACTCGCGCGTTGTATAGTTTTTGTAAAGTTCTGTTTTGTTATTGTTACGAATAGGCTGTGACATCATCATATTGTATCGGTGCAGCACGTTCTGCTCGTTCATTGAGTTGCTGTAGGAATATCTATAATTAAAGGTCAGGTGTGCGCGGAGCTTGTTGAGAAAAATAGCGCACGCTGTTTACGTTGGCATCGGTATATTTTCATTCTGTCCCTTTGTAAATATGGAAGGATCATGTCTGGAGGGGACAGAGGGGGAGACACATTGGCAGTTTGGCATGACTATATTAGGAAAGTGACCCTGTCTGAAGACAGTGAGGGGGGCCTTCTCACATGGGACAAACTGTTGTGTGGTTTTAAGATACTGCATTCTGAAGGGGGGTTAACAACTCTCTCTACCCATGTGGTGTAGTATCAGTGTCAATTTCATTGTTAGTTTAAAGTGAATAATAACTGTTTATTGTGATTTCACAAATTTGTGCAGTGGGGATCGATCCAGAATGTGTCTCTCAGACTTTGATATAGGTTATTAACATTTTCATCTGCTATAAATTAGTTAAAATTCTACAACATGTGCATGTGTAAATTAGAGGCAAGTACAAAGAATGTTGTTGTTACAACTTACCTCACTACCAGGGTGGATTATAACATTAATATGGATGTTTTAAATTGTGTACATGAATCAAACGTGCTTGTTCAACATAATTATTGTCCCCTATCACCACCTACAATTATAGTTCAAAATGCTAAACATATTGGAAACATTTGAATTAAAAACAGCCAAAATTGAAAACAAATATAGAAGTACAGAAAACAAAAATAGACTAAAAGCTCTAAAAACAAGCAATACATGTCTGATCATCTATGTTCCTGTTATTTTAACATGTAGATCAAAAACATATTTGAATGTTACACATCAAATTAAAGGAGAACTTGCTGAATCGGATGATACCAGTTCTGATTAACATAAATTAAAAATGGCTATTTTTAGTCCTTAAATTTGTGATATAGCAACAGCTCCAACTTGAATCACCTGTTCGCTGTATCACTGCGGGGCACCAATAATGTCATTGTTTTTGTTGCATAGCAATGTTCTGTTATGTCAGAGTCTATATATGTAGGATTTGTCTTAAAAAGTATTTTAAGGAAAAAGGGTTATCAAAGACCTCTCATTCTTGGGTGATTAACACGATTGCAAATCATATTATGTTAACTTTTACTTCCTTAGCTCAGAATTGTTTTTTTGTCCTGTAAATCCTTTATATTAAAGGGGTCATATGATGCTTTTTTAAAGATCATTATTTTGTGTATTTGGGGTGGAAGGTGGTGCTCACGTATGATAGTGATTTCAACCCTGTGGCTCATTTCTAATTGGTTACGCTGACAGCGTTATCATTCAGTCCGTGCTACAACTCTCCTGATCTCTCAAATGTTTTTAAGCTCTTGCCCAGCCATGGCTTGTGTTCTCTATTGTTCAATAGGAGCTATTTACGGTGCTTTTGTGTTGATTATGCAGATTGTGTGTCTGTTTGTTTATGTCAATCATCTGTTGCTTCCACAAATAATTCTCTCTCAAATGACAACTGGGAAAATATAAGGATTTTAAGGAAATATAATTACTTTACAATGTACATTAATATGTTTATCACAGTTATACCTGTCACCATAATATTTCTGTCACCATAATATTTCCTCATCATAATTTTTAAATGATGATTACCATTATTAATATTTATAACAATATGCATAATACGTATAGCATTGATGTGTATTTAAAACTTTAAACTGGCCAGTAGTTAAGGAGTATTAATTACCAGAAAATAATTTATCTAACTGACATTAATAAAGCAATATTTAATGTTACTGTCATTGACAAATATGTTTTTTTAATAAATGATAGATAATTATAATTGAATAATACATTATTAAGCCAATTACAATCAAATATACATTTAATTTAATTTAAAATACATTTAACAGTTTGATAGTGATTACTAAGCAGCTTTTTCACAGAGTGTACACCAAATAATTATTAAATATTCCATGTATTATATAGGCTATTATATATATATATATATATATATATATATATATATATATATATATATATATATATATATATATATATATATATATATATATATATATATATATATATATATATATATATATATATATATATATATATATATATATATATATATATATATATATATATATATATATATATATATATATATATATATATATATATATATATATATATATATATATATATATATATATATATATATATATATATATATGTGTCACATACACATGCAATATGTTTCTCTGTTTTTCACAGCCATGAGTCGCAGCATTGTGCGCCAGAGTAAGTTCCGGCATGTTTTTGGGCAAGCAGTGAAAGCGGATCAAAGTTTTGATGATATCCGGGTTTCCAAAGTGACATGGGACAGTTCCTTCTGTGCAGTTAACCCAAAGTTTCTGGCAGTTATAGTGGAGTCCAGTGGAGGCGGGGCCTTTCTGGTTCTGCCTCTCTCACAGGTGAGTGGCTTGAGGAGAAAACTACTGAAACATGTACAACCATACAACCCTTGTCTATTCTTTCAGCTTCATGGGGCTATATTTATGGGTATGTTTGTTCAAGAGCCTCAGCCGTGGCTCATGTTAAGGGTGCCCATCCCCCACAGGGCTTCCATTTCACTTTCATAGAGGCAAAGGTTTGAACCCCATGGAAACAGGGTACACAACTTGCATATGTTGTCTGAAACTACTTCTGTGACATACCGAAGCTGAGTTTAGAGATGATAAGTAAGCCTTTTTGAGTTGATGTAATCCCCATCATGCATTGCCATCTCTTCTTATCTGTTACTTAGCAGCTTGCATCTGCAGTATCGGCAAAGCAATGGAAATCAATATGCCAATATGATGATCCATTATAACATTTTATCACAAATACTCATGGAACTATGAAAATAGTAAGCATGTTTTACAACATCAGATTTCTAATGCAGTTCATGAAGATCATATCATTAGTATGTCATCATATGGGTTTATATCTTCTTTCCTCTGTCATTGGTTTCTTCAGAATGCATCCATACGCACTAGACATTTCTACCTAGTGGAATTACTTTTAGACTCATCATTAAACTGACATTGACAAATTTAAGCATAAACATGAAGTTTCTACTGTTATTTCACATAATATATAGATTAGATTCATATGAGTAGTTATTTCTCATACATTAAATATTTTTTTACATTTTGGTAACAGGATTGAATAGTTGAAGACATTTTGTAAATTTCCGACTGTAAATATATTAAAACTTAATTTTTTATTAGTAATATGCATTGCTAAGAACTTAATTTGGACAACTTTAAAGGCGATTTTTTTTTCAATATTTAGATTTTTTTGCACCCTCAGATTCCAGATTTTCAAATAGTTGTATCTTGGCCAAATATTGCCCTATCCTAACAAACCATACATCAATGGAAAGCTTATTTATTCAGTATATGATGTATAAATCTCAATTTTGAAAACCATTATGACTGGTTTTGTGGTCCAGGGTCACATATATTATCATTCAAAAGTTCGGGGTCAGTAAGATGATCAAATTGCTAAAAAAAAAAAAAGTACAGTAAAGAAATTTATAATAATACAAAATATATTTCAAATAAATGCATTTCACAGATAAAGTGGTTTAAAAAAGTATTTACACATGCCTGAAAGTATTTAAAAATGGCTAAATGTCATTAGATAACAGCATTTCAAACAAGTGGCACACTTTTTTTTTTAGAAATTCCTCTCAATTGGCCCTAAGGTCATTTTAGTGTTCGTTCACACAGGTATAGTTTATCATATTTACTGATGAACAGATATTTGACAACCAAAGACTGTCTAAAAGTCTGCTTGAAAAGTGTGAGTGTGCTCTTTCTTTATAATAAATGCCACTTGGTCTGATATTTTTGTTATTTGGTATTTTTAAATGTAGTTTAAGTGTTCAAATAACTACATTTGGGACTACTGTATAAAGTTCTTATATGAATTTGATGTAGGTTACGCAATCAAACAGGTCTTCCACAATAGAAACTATTGTAGAAATGCTGAGTTTGACATTAAAAAGCATCTTAAAGTACTTCTAGTTGTTGCTAATGCATGTGCGACCTTTGTCGAATCAAAGTCATTGAAGTCATGTCATTTGCACTTATATATTGTTGCTCATTTGTTAGTTTTGACTGCTTTTATTGTCCTCATTTGTAAGTCGCTTTGGATAAAAGCGTCTGCTAAATGACTAAATAAATAAAAATAAAAGTCAAGCGTAATATATTGATAAACAGCAGCGAATCACATAATTGAATCTATTTTTGTGAGTTTGTCTTGATTCTCTCATCATCAGTTAATGCCCTTTTAGTGTAGCCTCTGCCGAGTCACAAGCATATATCAGCAGGCCTGGAAAGACACGCTATAAATACTCAGCAAGCCATCTCCCCTGTACTCAGTCTCAGGCAGGCCAAAAGAAAAACTCCCTTTTCAACACCTCATCACAGGGTTATAAATACACACAAGGAGGATGAGGAGGAGCAGCTGAACACAGAACCAACACGTGCTCACACCATTTCAACACAAATAACGAAATAACATTAAAAGAAGTTACAGAAAATGTTGATCGTCAACCTCAGGAGGTCAAAATAAATATTAAACAAGCTGCTTTATTTTCTATTCATTTTGCAACATTAGAACAAAACTTGGGATAAATCTGAATGTTTAAAACCCAGATTTATGTGTTTTTGTAACACTAAACATTAAATTAAATAAATATTTATAGATAATAAATATTAATTTCCCATAAATTAAACAAAATATTTGTTTGATAGCCTATATATATATATATATATATATATATATTAATATTTTATTTTTTTGGTAACAGGGTTGAATAGTCAAGCTTGTTGGTTGTAGCGTTTAATTTCTGTAAAATTTGAGAAAATGGAATGAGCCTATTTTTTTGGTAACAGGGTTGAATAGTCAAGCTTGTTGAACATAGCGTTTAATTTCTGTAAAATTTGAGAAAATGGAATGAGCCAAACTGTAGAAAGGGGCCAAATATGTTACTTCCTGGGTGTCACTATTTTAATAATTTTCCATGTTTTCTATTAACGGTGAAATTATTCGGTGACAGGGCCGCATGGAAAATGTGCAAATGCTTTTATTCAGGAAGTTACCTTTTTTTTTTTTTTTTTTTTAAATAAATGCTGTCTATTAATCAAAGAATCCTGAAAAAAAAGTATAATGGTTTTTAAAATATATATTAAGCAACTGTTTTCAATATTTATAATAATAAGAAATGTTTCTTGATCATCAGATTAGCATATTTGAATGATTTCTAAAGGATCATGTGCCACTGAAGACTGGAGTGATGGCTGCTGCAAATGCAGCGTTATCATTACAGGAATAAATTACATTTTAAAATATATTAAAATAGAAACCAGTTATTTTTAAATTGTAATGTTTTACAATATTGTTTTTTATACTGTATGTTTGATCAAATAAATGCAGCCTTGGTGAACATAAGAGACTTAAGATTAAAAAGTCTTACTGACCCCAAACATTTGATGGTTGTTTATATTAAGACTATATACTGACTTTATATGTGTCTCAATACTTAACATTATCTTTTATTCCTTGTTTTAATATGCTATAGGTGGGTCGAGTGGACAAAAACTACCCTCTAGTGGTTGGACACTCAGGGCCTGTTCTGGACATCGACTGGTGTCCTCACAATGACAACATACTGGCCAGCTGCTCTGAAGACACCACTGCCATGGTAATCATCATGACAGACATTCATAAACATCTCCTCTGCCTGCCAGCCGCTAGCCTTGTAGTCATGAACGTGTTTCAGTTGCATTTTTTTACTAACAAATGCAGCATGCCTCCATATATATCTACTTACACTGGAGGGAAAGATCACGGTGAAAGACAATAGTGTTAATATGAAGGGTGATGACTGGAGTTAACGGTTCGGGCATGGGACAGGAGCTGGTATTTATAAACACATGTTAGAATGGCACTCTTGGCCAGGAACCTGTTCACAAATAAGCCAGTGGTAATGACAGACAAGGAATGATGGGTCTGAGTTGTCTATAGGGATGAGTCATTTCATTTTCAGCACACACTGGAACATGCGCATGTCCTCATGCACAAACACGTCTGTATACGGTGACCTCGTGAAGTATTTGGACACTTAAGCCATACTTATTAGTGTATAAATGTCATTACATTAGATAAAAATAAATAAATAAAATGAAAGTTACATTATCTTAAATAAAGTAACATAAGCACCTCTTTCAAGGAAAAGAATTTCACGAAAAGTTAAAATAATAAAACAATACACTGTAAAAAGTGTTTTTTCAAAGTTGTAAAAACAAGGATTATTGGAGTACATTTTACAAAATGTAAAATTTTACTTTTAGTTCAATGTGTTACTTGCTATTTCTTTGAAACTATTTTTGCTTAGAAATTGCTAGTAAATTTCACAAATAGTTACAAAGTAAATCCTACACCAGTTTTTTTTTATTTATTTATTTTTTTTTATTCAGTCTGTCACTGTTCAAAATGAAGACAAATAAAACTACAACTTCTAGAACACCTGTGTGAATCTGAACAAAAGTGGCTTAGGAAAGTAAAGTTGCTACTAGAAAAGCTATTTAAAGTATTTGCTTGCAGATGTCACTTGGTTTGTTTTGTATCTACTGCAATAGCATTCAGACGTTTTAAATTTGAGTATAAATGCTGAAAGTATTATATAATCTATTGAAAACGGATATGGGATGCATTTCCCCAGAGTTTAGCAAGATGATGTGGAGATGTATTATAATATATGAATGCTATTACTGCTATTTCTTTACATTACATTACAAACGTGAATGGCATGCACTGTATGCACTGCTGTTAGAGGAGGTTAACTGCAGCTGTCATCTATGCTGGCATTGCTGCTGTGCTCACTGGAAACCAAAGGAACGATACTACTTATCTTCAATCCAATATATAAGTATACCCAGACAGTTTAATCTGTAATCTGTAAAAAAACATATGGTTCGAAGTTGTAAATGAAACAAAGATTATTGGAAAATTGTTTCTACACCAAATGTTTTCTAGGCTAATTGATTATTCTTGTTTAATTTACCGTATTATGTTACTACAGAAAAATTTAGACAAAAAAAATTGCAATATATACAACTAGTATAATTACAAAATTTTATTAGCAACATTGTGGTCAATCAGCCATCCTCAGGCTTAATGAAGTTTGAGTAGTGTGTGGGATTTTTCTACATTCTTACGTTTAAAGCAGATGAACATGTCTGTATGTGTTTACAATATTTATTTTATGTTTTTAAAATAATTTTTAGTAATTATGTTAAAAAAAAATATAAATATATTTAAGTTATCCAGGTTGCAGGATGATCTAAAAAATATTAAAATAATTATAATAAAATATTAAATCCTTGGAAGTTTGTTGAGGCACCCCAGATGAGAACCGTTTCGCTAATAGAGTTGTGTATACTCAGGTATGGCAGATCCCTGACCACACTCCCTCTCGTCCCATCAGTGAGCCCATTGTGGTGCTGGAGGGTCACTCTAAACGTGTGGGCATCATCAAATGGCACCCCTCTGCCCGCAACATACTCCTCACTGCAGGTAAAGATCAGTACTGCTTTTTAATAGACACCAACTTCTTACATTAAACAGATATACAAGTGTATAAAAATAAGATTACTTAATTTCATTGGAAATAAATTAGAAGCAGTGGAAAGTCTTGGTCCCACCATGCAGATGGTTTCCATTCAGTGTGCTTTTGTCTCAGGCAGTGATAATCTGATCATCATCTGGAATGTGGGCACTGGAGAGCCCTTGATGACAATGGATGACCATCCTGATCTCATCTATAACGTCAGCTGGAACTACAACGGTAGCCTGTTTTGCACCACCTGCAAGGACCGTCGCCTTCGAGTGTGCGATCCCCGGAAAAACGAGGTGGTGGCGGTAAGTATTATAGTAGAGAAAAGAAGAAAAACCTCAGGGCTGTTGGTAAACTTGGTCATTATGGACATTTTTTCTTCTGTAGGAAAGACTGTCCCCACATGAGGGCATCCGGCCAATGAGAGCCATTTTTACCAAAGAGGGCAACATTTTCACCACAGGTTTCACCCGGATGAGCCAGAGAGAGCTTGGCCTGTGGGATCCGGTAATGGAGCAAAATGAAAAGGATAGTACCTTTATGCTATCCCATACCTAGTTTGCTTTGGCTAATCTTCGACACAAATTAAAATATTTTTAGTGAAACCTGAGAAATTTCTGTCCCTGCATTGAAAGTCCAGGTAAGTAAAACTTAGAAGATCCAAAAACATTGCAAAGGCGTTGTAAAATCAATCTTTATGAATTGAGCGGTTTAATCCAAGTCTTGTGAAGAGATCTGATATCTTTATAAGATTTTATTCACATATAAACACACATACATAGAGCACATCACATAAGTTAAACATGGAAGCTTGTGTGTGTGTCACACGCTAGAACAAACCTCACTGGTTCTCCTGTGTAACGCATACATGTTTGAGCTGGTTGTTTGCCATATGAAATCTGCTCATAACTTAAAGCGATCATATCTCTTCAAAATGTTTACTTTTATGATGCCTTTGTGGCCTTTTTGGATATTCTAAGTTTTGGTTACCTGGACTTTCAGTGGACAGAAAGAAACCTCTCAGGATACATTGAAATACCTGAATTTGTGTCTCGATTAACCAAAGTTTTATGGGTTTGGAATGATATGAGGGTGATTAAATTGTGACAAAATGTTCATTTACCTATTTAAGGCTCATTAATTATTTTATTGATTTTATTCTATAAATTTTTCTGCAGTTTTATTTCACTGCAGTTGTTTTCTTTCAAATCACTGATGGTGTTCATTTCTGTCATTGTTTAGACTAATTTTGAAGAGCCCATAGCATTGTTGGAGTTGGACACAAGTAATGGAGTTTTATTGCCTTTTTATGATCCAGACACTAACATCATGTATCTCAGTGGCAAGGTATGACTCCTTGTTTCATCTCCATTTGCTATCGTACTCAGGCTGGCGCTGTAAAGTTGTTTCCGTGTCTCCACAGGGTGACAGCAGTATTCGGTATTTTGAGATCACAGAGGAGCCTCCCTATGTGCATTACATCAGCACATTCAGTAGCAAGGAGCCACAGAGAGGAATGGGCTTCATGCCCAAGAGAGGAGTGGACGTCAGCAAGTGTGAGATTGCCAGGTCAGATTTGCAGGGTTAAACTGGTTAATTTGGATATGTGTTATAGTTACTTTAAAATGTGGTGTACAGAAATACCATATATCTAGACTAGCATTCAAAAGTTTGGGATCAGTGAGATTTATTTAGCAGGGACACATTAAATTGATGAAAAGTGACAGATATTTGTAATGTTACAAAAGATTTCTGTTTCAAATAAATACTGTTCTATAGAGCTTTCTATTCATCAAAGAATCCTGAAGAAAAAAAAGTTTCCACAAAAATGTTAAGCAGCACAAATATTTTCAGTATGGATAATAAATGTTTTTTAAGCACCAAATCAGCGTATTACAATGATTTCTAAATGATCATGTGACACTGAAGACTGGAGTAATGAAAAATCCGCTTTGCCGTCACAGGAATAAATTACATTTTAAATTACATTAAATCAGAAAACAGTTGTTTTAAACTGTAATACTATTTGACAATTGTGCTGTTTTTAATGTATTTTTTAATCAAATAAATACAGCCTTGGAGAGACGGCTTTGAAAAAATGAAATATCTTAACTTCCTCATACTTTTAATCAATGTACTTTTTTTGAGGGAAAGTATAGAAGTTGGTGTCATTCTGGTCTTTTCAAACATTTGCTTGTTTTTGAAAGGACTTTTCTCTACAATAAATCAAAATGGAACCTTTTACTTTTTACTTTGTGCACAATTCATCAGTATATGTTATTCTAAACATTCACATTGAGAATTCCTGAAACTTTTATTATTCCTCATATAGATTATATAAACTCCATGAAAGAAAGTGTGAGCCTATTATGATGACAGTACCCAGAAAGGTAAGCACATACTTTTTGTTGAGGGTTATTTCAATCCTGAACCACTATGAACACAAATCCAACAAAACTGAAGTATTGGAAACCAAAAGTTGATTATATGATAATGAAGTATGTAAAATCTGTTCATCCAGTTACATTTTTCTCTTTCTGTTGCTATGATGCCAGTCGGACCTGTTCCAGGATGATCTGTATCCAGACACAGCAGGCCCAGAGCCAGCTCTGGAACCTGAAGAATGGATGGACGGACAAGACGCAGACCCCATATTAGTGTCCATGAGGGATGGCTATATTCCGCCAAAGAGTAGAGAGCTAAAGGTGGCCAAGAAGAATGTTCTAGACACCAGACCTGCAACACGTAGAAGCATGTCTGTCGTAGATGGAAGTAGTTTGCCCGTAAGTAGAATATCTTGCTTATCCTTGGTCTTAAAATGTCTCTTTTCATAGCTTTTGTTCCTTCATCACCTTCTTTTCTGACATTTCTCAAGAAGCAAATAGGGCTGGGAATTTTATTCAGAATCGGGTTCATTTAAAAACAATAATAAAAAAAATTTCATTGGAGCATTATAACAACATACCCTAACAATGTTTTCTGTGGTTTTTAATCTATAGTGCTACGGCAGATGAGTGTTTAAGCTGTAGCTTGTTGTCTGATACGGTAAAAAGCACCACTAAATTATATCATTAAACATACATTGTATCAGTTCATATTACAGATGAATGACTTAAATGAACTGGTTCTTTTTAAAGGGGTCATATGATGCAATTTCATGGTTTACTTTGTCTTTGGAGTTTTAAAAGAAGTTTGTGCATACAGAAGATCCGTAAAGTCGCAAAGATTAAAGTCTCAAACCCAAAGATATATTCTTTATAAAAGTGAACGCTCATCCACGCCTTCCTAAAACGGCTCGTTCAAACACGCCCCCACATGTCTACGTCACTGTGTGGGAAGATTTGCATAACGCCTCCCAAATGTTCACGCAAAGAAAGAAGGCGTAACTTTTATTCTCGCTGTAGTATT